CCCTGGACATATGAAATTAATCAAAAAGACTTGGTTAAGCAGTTGAGTGATGATGGATCATTATTCCGATCGCCTGCTGCCACTGCAAAAATTTTTATGCTTACTGGGAACAAGAAGAGTTTAGCTTACTTGAAATCTCTTGTTCGAAATTCTTCTGATTATGGAGGTAAGCTTAATCTATTACTGCATGTCACTGTTAAGAAATTGTATTATAGGTATTATCGTTAGAAAATTATATCGTAAATGTATTCTAATTATAGTAAAAAAGAGATACTTATTCTGTTTTGCATGCCCAGTGCGACCTCTTTATCCAATGGACGAGGAGCTAATAAAGCTTTGCATGGTTAATCAATTACAAAGATTTGGATTAGCTGAACATTTCAAAGATGAGATTGAAAGAATTTTGGAACAAATTTACTGGTAACTAATTAACTAATAAAGCATTTCTTTTTTCTTTTTTTTTTTCTTCCTTAAATTGACTTATTGTTATGATAATATTATATATATATATATGCATTTGTAGGATATAATAATTAAATTAATTTACATGCTTAATTTTGTATGCGGGGAAAAAAGCAGGAACTACAAAGATCGAGAATCGAAGGTAATTGTAATGACAATGAACTCAACCGCGCAGTTATACAAGGACTCGTTAGCTTTTAGAATATTTCGGATGCAGGGATACAATGTATCAGCATGTATGTTCTATTAATTATAGTTAAAATTTTAAGATAATAATATTTATAATAATATTATTAGAAAAATAAATTTTTATTTATAAATATGTCTTTTATAGCGATGTTTTGTTGGTTCTTAAATGACGAAAAATTTCGGAACTACATCGAAGAAAATTGTCAAAGCTGCTCCGCTATCACGCTTAATGTTTATAGGGCAACGGATCTTATGTTTGGCGGGGAGTATGAAGTTGAGGACGCAAGATCATTTTCAAAAAAATTACTACACAAGGCTCTACAAATTGCCTCTTCCAATCAGTTTAATTTTGACAGTGCAGTCCCCAATTTTCATACAATGGTAAATTTATTGTCACCCATCATGCATAGTTTGAAATTCAACGCGATCACATACAACTCTCACTTACAACTCATGAAAATTAAAATAAGGTTAGACCAAGAAATTACATGAAAATTTCAAATTGGGTGGCCATTGTAATCTATTGCTTATATATTTTTATGAATTAGAAAATTTCAAAGGATTTTTCCAAGCAGGTTGAGTATGAACTGAGAAGTCCATGGATTGCTCGGTTGGA